TGAAGAATTAATTACATCAACTTCAAATGAAGGACAAGTCCATTGTTCAATATTTTTCTGAGATTAAACAAAAAGAAGATGTTATTATTGCAGCCGATTCTATTATTGATTCAAAAGACATCACCATTTGACACAACTGAAACCTTCTCCTCCATACCTCCCACTGTATCTTCATCACCATCATACTCTCTCAACATTCTATGGTTACCCATTTCCAAACTGGAACATTACAACCCAAACCAATCTTTGATCTTCAAATTAATAAGAAGTACATGATGAGTTATTACAAAAGATGATTAGTCAGCTTCCAACTCTACTATCTTAGTACAACAAATATTTCTTTTCAGAGCTCCTTTGCAATATCCATATGAAACTCTAATCACTTAAATAACATTCACATTTATATATATTGAGATTTGAGACCATTTGTAATCACATATATCAATGGAATACAAAAATATTTTCCTTGCTTAGTTTTCTGTAGAATAGGAACTACTATATGATATTACCTTTATGTATTCTACTCCTAGGAATGTAAATGACATTCTACAGAAATTCGTACTTCTCTATATAAACTATTTTCTACAATAGCTTTCAAAAAAATTATTTCCTACACAAAAGCTTTATAATCACATTTGCAAAAAGTTGCAGCCATCCCAAATAGACCATAAAGCTTCGTTTGAGATAACTTTTTTATTAATTTGTTTTCCAAACCATAATTATAATTTTTATTTAGTCACTGCTTTTTCAACATTTTCAAAAAAAAAATTATACTAAGAAAATACTTTTTACAATAACTTTATAAAATTATTTTCTTTGCATCAACTTTACAAAAGAGTTAAAAAGTTATCCCTTAATGGGTTTGCGGGGGGAGGGGAGCACATGTCCCTCCTAAAAAACAAATCAAATATATATGTCTTCACCCAATCACCACCAACCAAGGAGCATAAGGGAGAGCGAAGGTACACATGTACATTTTTATATGTGAGAAACTCATTATTTTCAATTATACACATGCTTGATCTAAGATAAATGAGTAATTGGATTAATTTATTTTTCTTAATCAAGAATAAGCTATCATTTTTACCCATGTGTTGAGGCATTATTTGTTCTATAGTGTTTAGGAACATTATATAACTCTATCTGGGATTTGACTATGTAACTTGTATCTACTAGTTAATGGCCCCTGTTGCTAGGACAACTATTTTTGGATGGAGCTTTACTTGTAGAAATATCCATTGATGAGATCTGATATTCTGATCTAACTCATTTTTTAAGCTATATTTTTATTCATATTTCTCTAGAATAGTTGATGATAATAAAATTTAATCCTTGTTAAAGTGTGTTGTCCTTAGCAATAAATGCATTCTAGTTTTTTCTATATATATATATATATTAAAATATTTGACTTTTATTTGAAACTTTATTTTAAAAAATTTCGAGTAAATTTTAGTTGAAATTAAAACTCATTTAAATTAGCAGAAATGAAAATATTTTAAAGAATCTCTAGTAAAACTCTTTTAAATATCTTTCGCTCCTCTCTTGCTCCCAAAGGGAGGAAAGATTATTAGGCCCTCTCACTTGACGTAGAGCTACGTCCTCCTGGAGCTAAAATCGTGCTAAAAACGAGAAATACCAAGCATATACCGAGCAATACCAAACAATAACGAGGAATATCATCATGTGAAGACCAATACCGAGTTATACCGAGCTATACCGATCAATACAAAAAAATACCTAGTTTTTCCTCGAAAAAACTCGGGATGTTTTTGTATAACTCGGTATTGCTCGGTATAGCTCGGTATAACTTGGTATAACTCGGTATTCGTCTTCACATGATGATATTCCTCGTTATTACCAAATAATACCTAGCGATACCGAGCAAAAACCGAGTTTTTTGGCGGTGGGAGGACGTAGCTCTACGTCAGGTGGGAGGACCTAATAATTTTTCATTCAGACACCACCGGATAACTAGATGTCAAACAAAAATGTTTTAATTTAGGCCCCCTGAATAAAATTTCTAGCTCCACCACTGTCAATTGAAAATAAAGTTATAAAAAATGTGTATATTTCAAATATTAAAATGCATTTAAAAGCTGTTTGATTTGTATTGAAATAAATCATGAACAATACTAATCTCAGTATAAATTGGACGGTTATATTTTACATTAGATTAGAATAACGTGACATAATATGTTCCCATTAAAATTGATTTATGAGCCCATTTGTCATTTTAAATGGCTTATGCTCAACGTCCAACAATACTTAATAATAAAAAAAACTAATTTTTTTATCAACATCAAAATAATATTTTGCTATGTCTAAATTTTAGAAAGCCTTTACTCAAATTATTTTTATTAAAGAATAATCAGTTCAAAACACCCAACGCTCTTAATCAAAATATCACTTAATTTTGTAACTATGGTTAAAGTATTAGTTCAGTGTGAAATTTGATTATATGGAACTTTTTTTTTTTTTTTTGAGAATTACAAATTGCATTAAAAGAAGAACTAATTACAGGCTATAAAACGGCTCACATTTCTTCTTTAACAAACAAGATAAAGAAGAAGGGATGTCACCAAAAGAAAAACTATCAAAAAAGAAACTATTTTCTAAAGCCAAAATATAGTACATAGATCAGCTACTTTGTTACATTCTCTATGAACATGGTGGAAGATCACCTTATTAAAATCATTTAAAAATAATAAATCTTTTATGCACCAAGTGTCGCTTTGTCACTTTGCTTTACTCAAAGAATCTTGAATAAACTTGATGATGTTGAAGTTATAACCTTCAATTATTACTCATTTGCGCTATCTATCATCCAACTTTGAATGAATTTCCTTATAGTCAAAACAGTCGTCAGCTCAAGTTGTACCACATCCCAATGAATTATTTTTTCCCCAAAAGCAAGTAATAATCTTCCTTTCTGATCTCTAAACACACCTCCAATTCCAGCAAGGTTCGATTCCAAAAGGGATGTATCCACATTGATTTTAATCCAACATAGCGGTGGAGGTGGAGGGTGTCAAACATTTTTAAACTTCCTAAGGAAATTAACACCCAAGCTATCTAGTATTGGATATGGATGTAACATTGATGTAGATAAAACATTTGCTGCAACTACTGAATTTGGAAGAGTAGGCTTTCTATGTACCACTTCAATGTCGATCAATTGTTGAATTTTTAATTTTGTCCTCAATTCCGTCAGTTAAGTTTGATGATGAGCTTATTGTGAGGTTGCAAGGGGCAGCATGCCTTTTGCTTGGAGGTTTAATGGCAAAGCTCTATAAATAAACAAATTTTGTTCATACACAAATGCCTCGGCACTTTATGCGAAAGCGTTGCAACGATTCAAATTTAGGCTAGAGACAGAGAGTGGAGTGCTCAATACCATGACGTTGTGAGTTGGGTTGAACAATTGCTCTTTCCTCTTTTATTTCACTTAAGGGTTGCATCATTTGAATGTTTTAAAGTCCATCTCTCATTTGTTTTGAATTGTTGAGCATGTGAAGTGAAGAGAGATAAAGATTTTTTTTTCGTGATTTTAAATTTTTCATATTAAATTATGATGTTCTTTTTTCTTTGTTGTATTTTCATTTTTGTTTGTTTGTTTCGAAGTGTGATTATACTTTCAAACATAAACATGTATATAATATGATAATCCTCGTGCCACAATGAAAGGATATGCCATGAGTCTTGATTTATGCAATGATTGATCATAAGAAATCATTGAAGATCTCGCCAACCTTTAGATAAAGGATAATCTCCAAGAATGCTCTTAATAAGAGGCTATATATAGTTTCTATAACTCATATTTTGCCATTTATTTGAAATATTTTTTTTTCAACTATAAATAATAAATGATGCAAATCAAATTCTTTCTTTATCAATTAATATATAATGTATCAACACAATTCCTAAAGTCATCTCCAACCAAACAACATTCTACGGTTTGCAGTAGCCACGACCATCCAACCTAATAGAAAATCAAACACTATTTTCACGTTTTGAACACCGTGACATCTATATTGGCATCACACTGCTCACAGCAGAGAAAAAACGTAAAAGACATTTCTGTTCGTGACAATTGCAAACAGAGGATAGACGAACATTATTCAATTCAATTGGAGATGCCTCAAGCTACATAGGCTATTCCACCAAAGTTGGGCCTAACTAATGCGATCAACAAGTGATATAATAGTGTCGAACAGTGCTAGGGCAGTTACGGATTTGAAAAAATTCGGGTTATGGTCAACCCGGACCCGAAACGGATCGTATTCGGGTTCAAGAAATCAACTCGTTTAAAAAATCAGGTCGAGTTCGGGTTGACTCGAAAATGACACGAAATTGAGGTCGAGTTTGGGTTGACTCGAAAGCAACCCAAAAATGACACGAAAACTCCTATTTGACTCGGAAACCCGAGATTGACCCGATTTTTACCCGAAAACTAGCAATTTGAGGTCAACTTCGGGTCATTCATGTCGGTCGGGTTGACCAGGACCCGAATCGAGTCGGGTTCGGGTCCAGAAACATGACACGTTTTTAAAAACGGGTCGGGTTCGGATTAACCCGAACAATACCGGATCAGTTCTGAATTTGACTCAAACCCGACCCGTTGACCCGAATTAACACCCCAAAAGATATCTCCAATAAGCAATAATATCCCACTTTTGTTATGAGTACATCAATAAAAATATATCTAAGAAGCTTTATGGTCCTTAAAATTATATTATCCATTGCCACCCAATAAATTTTCGGACAGCAGAGCCTGCAAGTTCGCAATAAACCCATGCCAAAATTTAATGTTCGCCATCTCACACATCTTTCTCATTCCCCGTGTCTCCACCTCCTCTCGCATAATTAAAAGACATTATACGCCACAGAAATATGACAGATTTTAACTCCAGATCGAAGAGGTAGATCCCCGTTATAATTACACCATATGAACCGCTTACCGGCCAGTTTAGCACAGCAAACTCACTCTCTCACTCATGGAATCATGGGGTTAAAGTCCCGACAAATAGACGTCGGCTTCTGCTCCACGCCAGCGCAGAAGAACAAATACTCCGGGCAACGAAACAGGCAATTGTCGGCGAGGCTAACCACCGCCGTTCGAGGTCGAGCGCGACCATAATGCTACCGGTGCCGCCTTCCGCCGGTTCCTCCACCCACTCAAACGCGTTTCCGGCAAGCGATAGTTGCTCGAGGGTTGTGTGATTGAAGGCAGCCGCTGGAACGGGGCCGGACAACGCATTGTGGCTGAGATCAAGAACCTGCAAAGTTGGGAGCGAGGCGAGGGCCTGGCCGGGGAGGTTCCCGGTGAGGTGGTTGTTGCGCATTGAGAGTTCGAAGAGGGAGGATGGGAGAGAGGCGGAGGGGAAAGGGCCGAAGAATGAGTTGTCGCTGGCGTCGAGGAAGTTGAGGTTAGAGAGGAGGCGGAGGTCGGGGAGGGAGCCGGAGAGGTTGTTGGATTGGAGATCGAGGCGGCGGAGGGAAGGGAAGGATGGGGAAATGAAGGGGCCGGAGAGTCGGTTTCCGTCTAGGTAGAGCTCTTCGAGGGAAGGGGAATTGGGGAAAGAGGGGATGGGGCCTGAGAGGGAGTTGCGGGAGAGGGAGATGCGGCGGAGGAGAGGTGGAGGAGAAGAAGGGATGGGGCCGTAAAGGCGGTTATTGGAGATATCGAGGGATTGGAGGAAGGGGAGGGACCAGATGGAGAGGGAGAGCGGGCCGGAGTAACCGACGGAGTCGAGAGAGATGTCGGTGACGCGGGAGAAGTTGAGGCCGGTGGCGTCGGAGGAGGTGGCGTCGCATCGAAGGCCGCAGGTGAAGTAGGGACCAAAGGCGGATAAGCAGGGATCGAGGTTGAAGTCCCAGGAGGCGAGGCAGGAGCCGGGTGGGATGGAGGCGGGGTCGAGGGCTGCGACCACTGACTTGAGGGCGGCGATGTCACCGGGGAAGGTGTTTGATTCAGCCTCCGTCGAGAGCAGTAGTAGGTGAAGAAGGAGGAGGAGCGGAGGACAAGAGGAGAGCTTTCTCATGGTGGTGGTGAGGACGCAGGAGTAGCGAGTGAGCTCGTGGCTCGGGGTGGGGGGCATATTGATCACATGGTAAGCTTTTGTTTTGCAGCTTTGATTTTCTTCTCTCTTTTTTGAGATGGAATAATTTGGAGAGAGATGATAAGGTAAAAAATTGCAAGGACTATGGTTGGTCATCACTGTGCATTTCTTGCTTTGCTTCACGAGCCTTTTGGGTGGATGTCAGGTGGGCCCACCTGTCTTCGTTCCAAAGCTCTTTGTAAATATTAATGGCTGTAATTTAAATAACTCCAATGCATAGTGATATGTAAATGAGTTATTCAGAGCATATAATATGTAGCTCAAAAAAATATATCCAGTAAAAAAAAAATCTCAGTAAAACCCAAATATAAATTGAATAATTAATATTCATGTTTTGTGTTAAAAATAAAATTTAATTAAAGATGAATTATTATTTGATATATAACTTATTGTATTTTGGAGTGAAAAATAATTTTTTTAGATTGGAGATGCCCTAAAGAATTTAAAGAATGCTACTCCCATGTAGTATTGTATATACGTACTTTATGGACTGTATAATGTCGTCAAAATGAATTAATGAAAATTGGAAAACTTCTTTGCTGCTTTGCTATTGATTCTTCCGCTTCCCCGCCCCTCTTCTCGTAATCATGCATTTTACAAAAGTCTCTACAAATTACAATAACCTTCATTTATCGTTTTATTCATATGATAATACAGCTTCATCTATCAACTATGAAGACACGATATTTAAAATCTTGAACCATTATCATAAACTACTTCTCAAACAACAATCATTTTCTAAGGTGTCTTAACAAATTCAGCGAAACACCCGTGGTGGAGCAAAAGTTAGAAATATATGTCATAGAAAATGCCAGTAGTTCATACGAAAAATTCAGAAGGGTCAGCATAATAAGTTGCTGAAGTAATCGAGAAAGATTTACACCAAAGTTTCTGATGTGATGCATTTGAAAAGAAGAAGAAAATACAACAACATTAAGTAAATCTCATTTACCAAAAACAAGAAATCAGTACCCAAAGGAGAATATGTTTATAAATAAAGTCTATTAGCATACAAATGGCAAACATAACAATAATAAGCCTCAACTCGAATTCATTAATTTGTTGTTTGCCTGCTGTGATCCGTACTACATAGCCAAACCATATAACAAATGCATTCCCACCATGAGTAAAGATTTTTAAATAAACTCTTGTTGCAAATTCTTGCAACATATTCAGAAGATATCATCAATTTTGTTATTATTTGCTTACATTAATGTTGGTGTAATTTATCATGTAAGATATTCTTGAAATTTGAAAGGCAGCAGCCGACGGTAGACAATGCTTGTACTGCCTCAATTTTTGTCTCGGGCAGTTTAAATCGAACATTTTAACGATCCTCAGAACTATTTTTTGATATTTTCGGAGCTCAACGCAACCTCTATAAATAATTTTGGGCACTTTTAAGTCGTATCCAAAAATTCTCCAATAATCTATTACACATTTCCGGACTTCCCAAGCTTCGAAATCTGAAAATAGGGGGACAACTGATATATCATCAAAAAATTATCTTGATCAGGCACGAATCTTAAAGCAAAACCAAGTTGGAAACTTCTGAAATTAAATTTGGGACCATCCGAACTCCGATTTCAGTAAACTTACAGTCGAACTGAACATCTAGGAAATATGAACCCAACGACACCAAATTCGACTCAATCCGAGCCGAAATGAGTCCAAATCAAGGACCCGAAGCATTGTTGGAAGGTTCGAACCACAATTTGGGTTAGCAAACGATAACCAAACATGAATTTCTTATATTCGAATCGAGCGGCTCGACGAGACAAATCCAACGAGTCCAAGATTGCCAAATTTCGACGTCATTAAGGCCTTCAAATGTCTGGCAAACGATGCATGATCAAGGGATTCAATATCAGCCGTCCATCCAACCACTCCCCATTTACCCTTGATCTCTCACCCCTTTACGGGTCATGCCACTCCAAAAATCTATAAATAGACCCCCCTCATCCCTCTTGGAAAGAGGGACAAAAAGCAGGAAGGGAAGCAAGAGAAGAAGGAGAAGAGAAGAAGGATAGGAGGGAAGAACTCATCCTCGTCCACCGTCGCCGGAATTCTGTCCAAGTGACGCTAGAATTCCGCCCGACCTCCAAGTGTTGTCAGAATTTTGTCCGACCTCCAAGTGACGTCAGAGTTCTGTCCAAATATCATCTAATGTCAGAATTCTCCTTGGCCTCCAACTGGCGTCAGACTTCTACCCGACGCCAGACCTCCGCTCGTCGTCAAGTTTCTACCCGTTGCCAGACTTCTACCTATTGTCGGACTTTCATCGGACTTCTATCCGATGTTGGATTTCTTTCCATTGTTGGATGTCTATCTGATGCCGTCTTTCTGACCTATATCGTAAGACAACGGTCCTTCTGACTAACGTCGCCCGCCGACTACAGTCCTTTTGGCCTCCGTCGCCCGCCGACAATGATCCTTCTGACTAACGTCGCCCGCCGACTACAGTCCTTTCGGCCTTCATCGCCCGCTGAAAACGGTCCTTCTGACTTATCTCGCCCGCCGACTACAGTCCTTCCGACCTCTGTCGCTCGCCGACTACGATCTTTCTGACTTACGTCGCACACCGACTACAATCCTTTAGATCAAACAAATAAATAAACAATGATGCTTTGTATTCTCACCATGTAATGTACTATATAAGATGAACATCAAGCTAAGGCCTTCGCCTGAGGAAGGACCTCCTTTGTAATCAACTACAATACTAGTGGATTCATTTATACTGGGCCAGGCCCCGTGGTTTTTCCCCCTTTTTAGGGGTTTTCCACGTAAAAATCTTGGTGTCTATAATGGATGACGCACCTTCTCTTTTTATTTGATTGCGTGCCAGATTTTTGTACAATTCTAGGACGTTAAACTTTGTATTTCTCTACCGCCGTGAATACTCCTGGACGCAACAGTGGTGTTCTTTGATATTTGAGGCCATAAGTATGCATTCCTCCTGTTGCAAAATTTTTATCTTGATTGAAAGGAAATATTATGAGGAGCATTTCATGTGTTGAGTGGGAAAGGCTATGTGGCATTTTGTTGCGTTCTTTCCAAATATTAGCCACCAATCTACCAACTGTGAGAGAAAGGCGAGTTTGTTTAGAAGAATTTTGCTTCGAGTTATTACTGCAATTAAGAACCTGAAAAAATACACAAACTATTTTTAAGGAGCACATTTCCGTTAGGAAGCCATTTTCAACCAGCTAACTAGAATAATAACATTCAAAATGTACATCAATATATCTCAATTTAGAGCAAAATTAGGCCAATTTAAGGCAACTTAGTAAAGCACAAGGACAAAGAAAATGAACTTGCCAAGATCAAGGTGAACTCGCCAAAGCCTATGCGATCCAAGGCTTAACCTGGTGACTTTCCCGAGCTTAGAAGCTACTTGCCTTTTTTTCTTTCAAATAAGTTGGTTACTTGGTTAAAAAGTCAACAACTTCATCCAATAACTCGGTAATTTTATCCATCAAGTTGGAGATTTCAACCATCAAGCCGACAATTTTAACTATTAGGTTAGCGACTTCATCCAATGATAGACCCAACCAAACTTATACATGTACACTTATATAGAGATTACATACCGAATATACTATGATACATATTCTTATTTTTTTGTAGTTTAAAAGTAACTTTTTGTGTAGTTCCCATAACCTAGTATGAGTCTATAAATTGCAAGTCAATGAAACAAGAAGCATCAACTCTTGTATTAGTGGCTAGCTAGTGAAATCATAGAGCTTCTCTCACCATCTCACTAAAACTCTAGATTCTCTAGTTCTTCTTTATCTCTCTCTACTTTTGTTTTCATGTTTTTGGAGTCTTACTAGTAAGATTTTTGTATTGCATATGGGACATTTGAATTCGATATCCTCTAAGATATAGTGAATGTGGATTGATGCCCAAAATTGAATTTCAAGGAAAAATAAAACAACAAAACTAAGGAGGATCTATGAACATGGAGGACTATGACTTCATTACAAACAAACTAACATAGATGGAGGAAATATCATGAGAATGATCTAGAGAACTCTGAAGCGTGTTCCCAATATCACTCTAAGAGTAGAGATGTCATAAGTATCTTTAGATTTAGGCTTCGTTTGGGACGGCTTTTTTGTTGCTTCTTAAAGCAGCTTTCTAGTACAAAATTTTTAATTATTGAACTAAAAAACTTCTTCAAGAAGCAGCAAGAAAGCCGTCCCAAACGAAACCTAAATCTCCTGAAGGCAACCAACAAGCACAAAAGCAATGACTTATACCATAGTGATACTAAAAAATTACTATCCAATAGTAGCAAAGAATCTATCCCTCAATGAATTGAGAAATGAAAATCCTAGTAAACCAATGCATTTTTTAGTGGAATGTTTGAGGCGAAACCTCTAACAAAATTCAAAATTCCTATCCTTGAAATTCTACAATGGAAAAATGGATATAGCTTACCATGTGGCCTATTTTGAGTCAGCCTTAGTTTTGTTGGATGTTAATGATGCTTTAAAGTGTCACTTATTTTTCAATACTTTATAGGAAACACTCATACATTTTGCTTGAAATAATAACATTGTTCACCGAGTTCAAGAAGTTGTGCATCGATTCGGAAGTGTCCAGAAGCCTTTGAAGAATTAGAAGTCTTCTTTAAAATAAGGTAGGAGTTGGGCAAGTCATTGAGAAACTTTATTGTGAGGTTTCAAAGGGAGATGCTAAATGTTAAAGGTTTAGAGCCTGTAGTCATTCTTGTTGTGATAATTCAAGGACTTAAAGAAGGACCATTCAAGTACACATTTTGATTAAAGCATACAAAGATATTCGCAAAAAAATTAGAACTAGCCAACAATCACATAAATGGCAAAGGAGTAAAATCACAAGGAGATATCAAAACCCAACATTTTGAATTTGTGAATTTATGATGACATCAAAATCAACCAAACTAGAGGTCGAGGCAACTTCAATCCAACTAAAATGAAACTTTTCAAGATGCTCTTCAACCACTCTATCATCATTATGAGCAATGATTTGATCAAAGAAATTCACCAAAACATCTGCTCCAAAGACCAAATCACCAATAAATTCTAAAAATATTGCTCATGCCCTTTTGCAAATATCCTATTTAGAGCCAATAAATCCAATAAAAGATAAAAGGATATTTTCGTTGATCAACCTTATTATATACTCAACAATACACCCAACCCCATTATATACTCAACACCCAAGATTTGATGAAATATTATTCTTTTCATAAGGATCATCGCCATGACACTTAGGATTGCCAAA